GGAATGTTTATTTTTTTTTGGTGGCCTTTCATTGAAAATGTTCTCTGTATAAAAAGTAATTACGTCTATGTATGTTTGACCATCTGTATTATTTTTTATAAAAAAAAATGTCAAAATTGAGGGAAGCTTGAAGAGAAAATCATAATGTTGAGGAAATAATATTGTTTATGTATTAAGATTTTTAATTTGTACTTCTATACAGGGTGTTTTTCAAAAGTGGCTCATCCCTCTATTTTTTTTTAATTTTTCAGACAAAAAAAATGAGATCTGGTATTTAATTTTATACAGTTTTTTTCATACTGTTTTGAAGTAATCATTTGTCACTAAAATTTGAAATAGAATAATTTCCTGCTATGCGTTCCAATTGTACCAACTTATTACTTTGTAAAATAAATTAAACTACTTTGAAATTATTATATATTACACGGCTATTAAGCTATTTTGTACACTTCGCTCTAAAAAAGGTTCTAAAAAGGACAATGTTCGACTGCAAGGTCTGCTAGTAAACGTTTTTAAGCTTAAATTTATATCACAATACTATTTATTTAAACCAAAAATTCGTAATACATAACTAAAGTGTCAAAACGAAAGACCATGTGAGGAAATAATAAATAAATGCGGCAACTTGACATTTTTTACAGCAGAGCTACCACCTGAATCCACAGTGCGAAATTTAAATTCTAGTTAGTCAGCCCGGCGCCGAATATGTCCATGGTTGGCAACAATGAATTTAAAAATCGCGCCCTCGATTACGTAACTAAAAGTTTAGTTAATATCAAATATATAAAAATATTACAACACAAAATGTCCTTTGAACTATCATTTCGGTCCTATTATTACCAAAAATAATTTTAAATACTTAAGTAATTAACTGGTATTTAATTAGAACATCTTAATGACGAAAAAATCTTAATTACCCACGAAAATATTAAAATACTTGTTAATTAATAAAACTGGTATGTATTTTTCAATATTATTCGTTGTGTTCAAATGATTTAGCAGAAAAAAACCGAAATGTCTTTAACCCAACCGGTTTTAAAGGCATTTTTCAAAAATAAACAGGATAATGATATAATTTATACCAAAAAATGTTGTTTAAACGTAACTAAGCATTAATATTAATGATCAAAGACCATTTCATGTTTTTTAAATATTAATTAAAGATTATTTTTTAATACAGTTGCATGCAGGTTTTGATTAGAGTTTCGTAATTTTTCCTTCCTTTAAATTTAAACCTATGTTGCCATATTATCCAGATATTCCTTCAAAAATAATCTAGATTCTTAAATGTTCGAATTAAAGAACATAAAAATAATTTAAGAGATGGCGATTTTGGCAAGTTTTGGGTTCGTTTAAGGACTATTAGAGCTACAATTTAAAAATAATTTTACAAGATACAGAGTGTCCCAAATAAGTAAAAAATATTTAGTTGTATTTTTTTAGATAGAACACCCTGTATTTTATTTTATTTTTAGATTCTACGATTGAAATAAAGGTAAATTTTGTTAAGGTTTATCACACTTAAACCTTACCGGTTTTAAAATATTTTCAATTTTGTGAAATTGCAGTAAAACTTATAAGGCTTTATTTTTCCAAGGGCATCAAAGTTTTTAATACTAAATATTTACTGAAGATTATTTATTGATCAAATATTGTGTTGCAATAATAAAAATTATACTACCTTATACAGAGTGTCCAAAAATTTATATTTAATAATTACTAGGAATAACTTGTTTAATTTAAATGGGACACCCTGTGTATTTTACGTGAGTGAGATGCACAATTTAATTGTCTATCGAATTGTATTATACCATTTTTTTACCAATCTCTTAAAATTTTCGTAGAAAATGCATTTTCTGATAATTTAGACCTCATTAATCACTATACCTATGGAATATTGACATTTTAGATTTTTTTAAAGCAACATATGTACATGTACAGGGTGGGTCAAATTCGACGCTTTTAAATGGAAACACCCTTTTCTATAGGAGATAGACGAAAACTAATATCGGTGTCTGGAGTTCAATTTTTGTCAAAAACATGATGGTGAAAACCGCATATCGATATCTGTTACCGTTTCGGAGTTACGGGGTGTTTTCAAAAATATGCATTTTTAACAAATCGCTGTAACTTTTTGCTATGAAAAATTTTGTATTTTTATAAAAAACATTTCCAAAGCACCTTTTACGTAGAATTTAATGGTTTAAGTATATATTTTTTTAAAATTAATAATTTAAGAATTATCAACAGAAAATTTGATTTATTATATGAGACACCCTGTATATTTTTAATTTATTGAAAATAATTTAAAATTACCTTTCCAAAAATATAACACACTTGATATTTTGCTCGATTCCTCTTCGAGATATAGAGTATATAAAAATTCGCCCGCTTTAAATAAGTAGGCTTTGAACAGCACCGGCTGTATATGCAAAAAAATCTAGCTGTGAGAATCAGTTAAAACGAAAATAATATTTGCTATGAGAGATGCAGAATTTTATAACAATTTAAAATATATTAAGACATGAGATTTTGATACAGGTGTTCGACATATCGACCGTCTTCTGTTATGGACAGACGGGGCCGTTTTTGAACATTTCTCGCGGAATTCATTAACTCAGTGGGGGTGAAAGATACCCTCTCATAACTGCTAAGTATTTCTAATTCTTGTCTAGATTATACGGAAGAATAAGGAACCTTTATTCTTCAGCAAATATATCCATAGGATTAGATCCATGGGCACTAAGTCAGGCGGCCTCGACGGCCAACGGCTGATGGTGTCTTGCTTGGCTATTCAAATATTCTTGAAATTGGCTACAAAAATTTGCTGATAACTTCAGCGTTCTGAGGCGGTGCGTCGTCTTGCTGGAAAAATATGTTTTCGAGTTCCATTAAGGGCATATCATCAATAAGGGGTCCAAAGCCTACTAGTTAAAAGTGGCGAACTTTTAAATATTCTGTATTTCGAAGGGAATTATAACAAAATATCAAGTGTGCTATATTTTTGAAAGGTAATTTTAAATTATTTTCAGTTAATTAAAAATATAGAGGGTGTCCCAAATAAAAATCAATTTTTCTGTTGATAACTCTTAAATTCTTAATTTTAAAAAATTATACTCAAACAATTAAATTCTACGTAAAAAGGTGCTTTGGAAATGTTTTCATAGAAATACAAAATTTTCCATAGCAAAAAGGTTACAGCGATTTGTTAAAAATGCACATTTTTGAAAAACACCCCGTAACTCCGAAACGGTAACAGATATTGATGTGCGGTTTTCACAATCATGTTTTTGATGAAAATTGAGCTCCAGACACCGATATTAGTTTTCGTCTATCTCCTATAGAAAAGGGTGTTTCCATTTAAAAGCGTCGAATTTGACTCACCCTGTACAGGTGGTAAAAATAATAATATTGCTAGCCCATTTGTTTACAAAAAGAAAATTATTTAAACCTTTGTAAAAGAGTATACCAATTATAAATATACCACCATTATTTCCGCTCAAAAATTAGTTAATTACATACTTAATTGTTTTAATTAATAAATTATTTTAAATAAGTATGGATTTGACTCAGAAATCAATATAATAATAAGTTATAAAAATGAACGTCTCTGTTATAAATAAGCATTCGTCAAAAAATGAAATAAAATTTATAAGGTGTTACTTTTTACCACACTGTCTAATACACATACAAAATTCAGTTTTTTAATATGTATTTGGAGCAATTATTATTAATCAACGCAAACAGTCAATTAATGTAGCTTGAATACTGAGATCATATTAACTGGTCGTCTTCAACAAAAAAATATTTAAGTTTTAAATATTTTAAGTTTTATTTATTATTAGTACCTGTACTCTTTGAAAATTTGTTACATCTTTAAAAATAATCTAAAATGTCAATATTCCATGTGTATAGTGATAAATGAGGTCTAAATTATAAGAAAATTAATAAACTTGAAGAGATAGATAAGAAATAGTTTAATTTGATAGACAATTAAATTGTGCATCTGATTCTCCTAAAATATATAGGGTGTTCCATTTAAATTAAACAAGTTATTGCCGTTTAAAGCTAGTAATTATTTAATATAAATTTTTAGACACTCTGTATAAGGTAGTATTTTGTTTATTATTCCTACACAATATCTAATCAATAAATAAACTTCAGTAAATATTTAGTATTAAAAACTTTGATACCCTTGGAGAAATGAAGCCTTAAAATTTTTACTGCTATTGCATAAAATTGAAAATATTTCAAAAACGATAAGGTTTAAGTGTGATAAACCATAATCAAATTTAACTTTATTTCAATCGTAGAATCTAAAAATAGAATAGTATACAGGGTGTTCCTTTTTAAAAAATACAACTATAATAATTTTTACTTATTTGGGACATTCTGTATCTTGTAAAAATATTTTTAAATTGTAGCTCTGATAGTCCTTCAACGAACCCAAAACTTACAATTTGCAAAGCTAATCGTTTAGCTACAATACTTCGTGTCGTATGTGGTGAACAACCCTGTAGAAAGTTTGAAGCTTTTTGGGTTTCCCTCGTTCAGTAAATTGTTATCAATATTATACAGGGTGTCCCAGAAATAAGTGCAAGTATTTTAAGGGGTGGTAGATCTCGATAAAAGAAACATATTTTCTCTTTATCGTTTTTGAAATAAGTCCAAAGTAACGGAGTTAGGTATTTTACTTTTTTATTTCCAAAAAAAATGATTTTTTGCTAAAATTTTGAGAACCACTGAATCTTTTCCGGATTTTCTTTCTGGTAAATTTAATCTAATACCTATGTTGCCATATTATCATGAAATTATATTTTTTAACTAAAAACTAAAAAAAATTGAAACATTTTTCAAAAAATTTGGAATTTTCAAAATTTTTTTTTCGCGAAACAAACCTCACAGGCGTGTTTCTGGGGTTGAAATATACTACCAGTTAAAATACTTGCACTTATTTCTGGGACACCTTGTATAGAATTGTAATCATAGCTAGTAGGTACCTGTGCACCAAAATGCGTGGTCAGTACTCCCGTCTCTTCAGCTGCGTTGGTACGTAACCGCGAAGACATGGCCCTTCTAGACCATGGTGTTTCTTATTTTCCCACACCTCCCATCGTCAGTTTTAAGGTTATGTCGCCACAAATTCACCGATCGACACGAACAACAAACATACTTCCCCGAAAAAACTTGTCCCGGTCTCTCAATATCACTACCCACTACATTTTCCAACCCTGTTTCTTTACATGATGAGATTCTATGGTTTTCCGTCACTGACAATAGCTACATTATCGATATTTTATACTGGAATTGTGTCTAATTGAAGTTTCCGAATAGTCTGGAAGGTTTACACTGTATTTTTTCGAGTTTTTTCCGAATTTTCAACACACAAAATATGATGAAAACGTCAATCGACGGCCCGCTCGACTACTAGCGTCTGCATCCCACTAGTCTTCTCGGGCACCCAACAATGTTGCCAAGTTGTAGTAGGATGTTCTGTTATAATCTAATGTTTACAAGATACTTATTTAAAATTTGATTAAAAATTAAATTCAAATATTTTTTTTATGAAAATATAAGATACTTTAAAAAAAACTTTTGATAAGCTACTATACTCTGTTTTTTTTTCTCAGGTAAGATTTCGACAGACGATGACAGAAGAAAAGTTTAAATATAAATCCGTCATGCGTCGTCTCTTGTTGTTTTTAACCAGTTTTATTGGTTTATTTCAAAAATGACAGATCATGTTTCAATTTTATTGGTTTGACGGAACGATGAACGACAAACGGACGCCGATGCGTATGAACTCGCCTTTAGATTTTTGAGACTTGTCAAAGTCTTGCCAAATTTATAGGTTATAATTTTGTGTCAACTTATGTCAAATACCCTGCGTTTTGGAAGATGATGCATTTTGATTCGTGTTATTACTTGTGTTTTGTGTCTTTTGAAGTCAAGTGGAGGAAAAATCGAGAGAAAATTAACTGTAGACCCAGAGCACAGTTTAAAGAAAAAGTCTTTTACATCGATAAAGTTACCATCAATAAAGTTTGTATATCATCTCGTCGTAGATAAGTGCATCTCGTATATGGTACAAGGATCGTACTAAACATATACTAAAAATTAGAGTAGCTGTAAAATATCGACATCACATGATAGGTAAATAATGAATTTTAGTACTGCAGAAAAATAATGTCAAAAGGTACTAGTTTAAAAAATAAGATTAAAGTTAATTAATCAACCTTTAAGGTATACAATTTGGTAAGTGTTATTATTAATAAAATAGTTTGTTTTATTTATTCCTGTGGAATATTACAAATTTGTAGATTTGTACATTTGTACAAGTTATATTGATAAATATAATAATAAATGCGGGAAGTTTCTTGAAGCTTGAAAGTAAGAAATAGTTCTTTTTTATATTTTTTGGTATGTGGTGTTTTGTTCTTGTTTGTTTTGTCTTAACACATACCGTTTTTTTAAATAAAATAACTCGATTACATTTTTTTCAGTTTTATACAGTGTTTTTTCACAATACTTTGAATTTTGAAGTAGTCACTTGTCAGTCAACTTTTAAATATATTAATTTTTTGCTATGCGTTCCAGTTTATTTCTTTGTAAATAAAAAAAAACTACTTTGATTAAAATTAAAACGACAGACACATCTATCACTGTCAAGGATTTTGTCGTTGGACAGGCTATAAAGACTAAGCAAAGGTGCTAGTTCCTGTACCTGGTTAGTATGAAATTTTCTAACATGTTTCTGAAAAGCACTCTAAGATGAACAAAACTGCGAATACATTCACAGCAAGCACTGCTATTAGAAACATTTCACTTATTTTTGCTTTATTTAGTATTCTTATTGCCATTAAAAACGTTCTAACCAGAGGTTCTCACAAAATAAACCAAATAAAAAACAAGTTTTGAAATAAACCGTAAAAATAAACGTCTTTTTTTTGAATTGTCAGCTAAACAGCTGATAATTGAAAATCCTGAAATTAAGGAACAACAAACGGCAACATTGTCGGGTGCCCGAGCAGACTATTTGGACGTAGACGCTAGTCGACTCACTTCGCAAAATTCCGCAGCACGTCGCCTGACACCGGGCCCTGACGTCACAGGCGTGGAAATATCGATTTTCCGGGAGAAACGAGGACTAGATAGTCCGGGTTCCGGTCCTAGAAGGCCCCGCGAGAGGGAGAGGGCCCTATTCGCTGTGAAACGGGTTGAAAAAAGAGGGGAGCATAGTAAAACGAGATGACCTTGTTAAAAATGTGTGTGTATTTTTTTTGTGTTCTATCCTCGGCCTACGTAGATGGGATAGAAGTTATTTAGCGAGAGGAGGGAGATGTGTATCTAGGCGCCACAAGGGCCGGAGGAGAGTAAGCCTAGATTTTTTGTTGGCGGGTTATTGTGACAGTGAATTTATAGTTATTAGTGCGTTTGCTCAGGCCTGGATTAAGGGGGGGGCTATGGGGGCTATAGCCCCAGGCCCCGTCATTGAGAGGGGCCCCCAAATTAGGAGAATTTAAAATCGAGATTCATAGAGTTAAATCGAGATTAGTTAAATGAAAATGTACATATATTACGAAAAATACCGATTTGTAACAAAAACCGATTTTTCGTCACATATTGTTATAAATCTTCAATTTTTTATAAAAGTAACTAAAACTGTATTTTAAAAACAATAAAAAAATAAAATCCAGCCTGGAACACCTGCAACAGTGCAACAGAAATATATTTAGTCTTATTAAATATATTGCAACAGCCAACTTGTTATTCTCATAATGTCAAAAACAGATTCTTTTTCTTTTCTTTTTTGGGCGGCAAAACACTTTCCCAAAAAAATATCAAGATTGCTACATAGACAATGGCTTGTTCTTCTTTTTAAATTTTTCTGGATGGATGGATTACCGAAAGCCGAAAGCGCTTAAGGAATTATTCAGATTAGATTCCTCTTTTATTCTATTTGATTAGTTATTTTTGCATAGCGCATCTATGAAGTAAGTGATTGCCAATAATAGATTTAAGAAAACAAGAACAATAATATGTTTTTGAATTGTGTAGTGTATACCAGTATTTTAAAAAATGTCATGTAGAAAATATCTTAGTGGATCTGCTAAACGTAAGGTAGGAATCAGTTTTAGCCTTATTACGCATTTACTGGATATGATCATATATATAAGAACTTTGGTATTAACAATTCAATTTACAATAACTTTCTTAAGTTTCTTCTTTTAAAAATAAGCGCATTAATATATAATAGGTACCTATATAGAGGCCATAAAATACTATTCCTTTTATAAAAATAAACTTTATGAAAAATGAAAAAGAATTCCCGTATGCTCAAAAAATATAAAAAATTCGAGAACTACTCCAATTTTGAAAATTGCTAAACAATACTCGTATTAATGAGAGATATTGATGTTTTAAGAGCTTTATGCCTTATTTTAAGCAACATTTTTCAATAATATATAGTGTGTTCCGAAACTATTATGCCAAAATGTAAGGATTGGTAGATCTCGCCAAAATATTTTGAAATTGGATACTAATGGTCGGAAGAGCGTCGTTTTCAAAATAGAAGGTGTTAAACTTTTAAGAAAAAATCTATACAGGGTGGTCCACCGAAAACTTTCCACCCCGGGTTTCTTGCTTGTAAATAAATAATTCGAAAAATGCTCGGACACGTCGATTTTGTTTTTCAGGGAGAATTATTTTTTTGGTATTTCCACCCACTTTGCTTGCACCCCTTTGACGGAGTAGCTATCACCCTTAAAATTTTAAATGGAATAGGGGGTCAAGTGATACCTTGTTTTAAAGGTCTTTTGAGTCTTTTTATATCTATAGAGTTTGAAGTCTCTATTGCAACTCGCGTTGAATGGTACGCCACTACTTTTTAAATAAAATTAATATTATTTTTGAAATCACCATTCAATTTACAACATATTTTATTTCTTGACTTTTTTTGTCCGACGCACCGTTTTCGCGTAAAAAAATAAAAACCATTTTCATGCATGACCAAATCGCTAATATGTTATCATAAATTTTAATGGCAAAATTTGTAAAACGGCAAATTTAAGTTTAAAAAGATTTTTTATTTTCCAAAAACTTCTTTCTATGAACATAGTACGAACTAAAATGCCCAAAAACCTAAATTGTCGTTTTTCAAGTTTTACCATTAAAAATTTACATTACCATTTTAGCGATTTGGCCATGTATGAAAATGCCGAAAATGGTTTTTATTTTTTTAAGCGAAAACGGTGCAATAATATTCAATTTAATAATATTTTGTTTAAGTACCGTAGGGTGGTATACAGTGGTGTAATAGATATTAAAAAAGATCGATTTTTTTTCTTAAAAGTTTAACACCCTGTATTTTGAAAACGACGCATTTCCGACCATCAGTTTTGGCGAGATCTACCTACCTTTAGATTTTGATACAATAGTTTCGGAAAACCCTGTATTTTTAAATCTACGAAAACTTAGGGATATTTTAAATTAATTTCAGATTCAAGAAGAAAAACTAAAGAAAACTTTAAAATTGACTAAAGTAACAGACTTTTTTAGAATTTGCGAAACCCCTTTAACGTCAAATTCTGAGTTGAATAAAAATCAAGATCATGAACAACTGCCTTCCTGTTCAACTTTAAGCAATATTAGTTTAAGTGAAAATAACAGCAATGAGGAAAAAATAATCCGACCTGGGGGCCCCAAGGGTAGCCTATAGCCCCGGGCCCCCTAGAACCTTAATCCGGCACTGCGTTTGCTGGGAAATTAGGTCGATATATAATGTTGGATACTTGGGTGGAATGGGAGGAATGGCTAGCAGATATAATAAAGAATTACAAAATTAAATTAGAGAAATAAATAATTAAAATTTACGCTGATTAATATGTAGCGCGAATGAGTCTTGATACGTACCTATAGATACTTTAGTCTCAATTTTTTGTAATGATTCTGTAGTTAGCCTATAAAGGAAGAAAAAAATCCCCAAATTTCATTACATATTAATGAAAAAAAAATGATTATTAAAAATCAAGCGTCTAGCCGTTATTGGCAACTACCTAACTATATGTGAAGTCTTGATTTTAGAATTCAATGTGTCATGTTAAATATTTAGTCAGCTGCCGTATATGGATCGGCCCTGATTAACATAATATACACGTCTACGATTTACGTTTTATAATTATTTCGATTGCTATTATTGGATTGATGATTGAAAGATTATCTATTTATTTACTGATACTATTTTGAAAGATATATCGGCCGAGCAAAAAAGAGAACGGCCTAGAAAAAAAAATGAGATCCAGTCAAAAATATAAAGTAAAGCCAAGTCAGTAACTTTAGTTACTAGTTACTATCTATGCAAACACTCATTTACCAACTTCATAATATAACTCAGGGTGTAAATATCTACAA